ATAACAGGGCTGGACCAACTCCCCCATAAGGGAAAGTTACAAAATGTAGGGCTTTTAGTTGGGGGAAAGCTGTGGGGGGGACATGGTATACAAATTTAATTAATTATTACTATTAATAGAGATGTATAGCATTTTGCATGGTGTGGGGGATGTAGATAGGGAGATGTTGTTCTCTCAGAAGAACAGAACCCAGGAATATTCAGTGAAGCTGTATGTTGGAAGATTCAGGGCAGACAAAAAGAAGTGCTTCACAAGATGTGGTAATGGCCCCCAACTTGAATGACTTTAAAGAGGTTTAGGAAAATTATTGGAGGATAAGCATCTAGTTGTAAAATGTGAGAACTGGATGCTGGATTTAGATACATCTTTGGATAGATTCAGGAAGGGCCTTCTCATGAAACCACAGCTTATTGTTTATTCCTTCATGTCAGCTTGAATAGCTGCGAGACTCTTCTGCTATCAATGAAACCAAGCGTGTATTTTTCATTGTATTTATTAGAATTTATGAAATCATATAAACTTATTAAAATATACTTTACATTTCAAAATCCAGGAAATTAAAAAGTTGCCTATAAAAAAATAAGCATCTACTACAAAACAGCAGCAGCTACAAAAACAGCTTAACAAGGTGCAATAAAGTCGATGAAATTAGTGCAAGGGCCATCCAGCTTAGCTCCCTGATATTTTGCAAAAATAAAGATCGAATATACGGTATTCAAAAGCATTTTACACTGGTTCTAGCAGACACTTTTTAAAGAACCGGATTCAAGAGTTGCTGCTTTATCATGACGACTGTCTACTGGCAATATAGCAACATATTGGTATTAGGTACATCAAGCAGAACCTCCAAAAGACAAAAAAGATACGCCATCTTTTCTGTGTATATTTGTATTATTAGGTCTATCTTATGTTGAACAGACCATAAACAATCTACTGTGCTGCTCATTCTGATATGTTCTCTTTGGACAAGCCACCACAGGTCACTATACTGTGACTAACTCATAACACCTTGGTAATTGCTGAGGAAAACTGGAAGGAGACACAGGAATAGTACAATTCAAATCTACTTCCCCCTTTGCAAAGTATCATAGGTTAAAGATAATCCATTGGCATTTGTATGCATTAATGAAAGCTACATAGGATTAAAATTTATTATCACTTAAAAAGGCTGGAGAGACTTCTACAAGACTAGCACAGTGCTACATATGGAGTGTGCATATCAGGCAGTTGAAAGCTACCCTGAACTATTTTTTATTTGAAGTATTTTAATGCCGCCCCTCAATTAATCCCAGGGTGGTTTGAAAAAAGAAAGAAAAATAAAACATAATTTAAAAACTAATTTCTCAGGAGCTTAGCACCATCCTAAATAGATCTTTTCTAAGTAATGCCAGTTTTGAATTAGGTCAGACATAGGCAACCCCTGGCCCTCCAGATGTTTTAGACTACAATTCCCATCATCCCTGACCACTGGTCCTGTTAGCTAGGGATCATGGGAGTTGTAGGCCAAAATATCTGGAGGGCCGAAGGTCGCCTATGCCTGGATTAGGTAATTTAGGATTAGCTAGATTTAATTTCCCACAGCAACACTGGGGAACTTGTCCCCACTCACCCCCCAGATGTTACTGGACTTCACCTCCCATTAGACCCAACGAGCACAACCAATGGCCAGGAATGATGGGAGTTGCAGTCCACCAACATCTAGAGAGTCACAGGTTCCCCACTCACCCTAGAGAAATATTGGTTTGCAATGGAATAATAACCATATGCCATTTAACCAATGGGAAGGGAGCTTTACAGAGGAATCCTATTCATTACTCCCTGGCAAGTGTGTACAACTGCAGCCTCAACAGACCAGTTCACTAAAGAAATGCACACCTCCGTGGGACAAACGCATTCTGACAATTTAACTGAGAACTGGTATCCATTCATAGCTTTGTGCAAGGGGGTCACCAACCTTTGGGGGCCAGTGGACACCTTTGGAATTTAGAGCAAGTACTATGGGGGCACCAGCCACAAAATGGCTGCCATGGGGATGTGACGTAACACAAAATGCCTTCCACATCAAAAAGGGCAGGAAATGAGACAAGACCACAGAATGGTGTGGTCATGCCCATTGATGGAAAGGAAGCACCTAGGTCAGCCACTGTGGTGTTCACTCAGAGAGCTCTTTGCACCTCTCCTCTGTTCAGAACAGAAAGGAATGTGAATGCCCAGAGATGGCATCCTGGGAATATGGACCTGTTTGTAAGAGGACATGTTCAATGTAGGAGAGGCCAAAGCTGTGCCATTGAACCCAGTGTGTTTTGACTATACACTATTTTGGCTTTGGGCGCAATTGTGAAACGTAATCCCTGCATATGTTGAAGTCTCACTGTACTATTCTTCCTGTGGGTTATTTGGTTCCCTTTTATGACTTACTTTTATGAGAATCATGAAAATATAATTAAAAGCCAAAGGGTATCTAATAATGCAGTGCCACAGATAAATCTGCATTACAGTAGCACCCTGATTCTAAATAAATCAGCTTAAAAGTGCCATTTGTCTGAATACAGTCAAACCTCGGTTGTTGAACGTAATCTGTTCCAGAAGCCCGTTCGGCTCCCAAAACTTTCGACAACCGAATCGCGGCTTCCAATTGGTCGCAAGAGCTTCCTGCACTCAGCGGAAGCTGCATCAGACGTTCGGCTTCCAAAAAATGTTCGAAAACTGGAACATTTTGGTGTTCGGGAGCCGAATAGTTCAAAAACGGAGCCGTTTGGGAACTGAGGTTTGACTGTACATAGTACTTATTTTCAAGTAAAAGTGCCTATGTGCACTTACTTGGCAATTAAGTCCCACTAAATATAGTGGGTCTTGCTTCTAAAGAAGCATGCATATAATTGGGTTATTCAGTTAGCAAGGACACTTTCAAATCACATAAATAGGATGAAATGCTGGGTTCATGAAATCAAAACAAATATGAACCAAAAACCAGACCAACCCTTTGAAACAGAACAGAACCCAAACCTTACCTGAAGGGATCTGTTAAACCTGAACAGGTTTCTAAATTAAGCATAGAGGTTTGAGACAAGGGATCCATCCATTCATTTTTAGTGTGCTAACACTCACAGGTCAACACTTCCAGGCCAAAAGGAATCATGAGCATGTGAAATCTGTATTGGGAAGATTTTTACACATCTTGGGTTTGTCCTGAGATTTGTCCTCTTAAAAGATTAGGATGTTCAATGGTATAAAAGTCTAGTGCTCTAAGCGTGCAAATTAAACATTACACTCTTGTATCACGTGTTCTATTTCTACTGTAGGCATACTTTAGGAAAGTGCCACTTCATAATACTTACAGATAATGGCTGATACTTAAGGTACAATAAACGAATTTTCTGTATATCCCATGAACAGAAACAATTCCAGAGGTGTGCTGAACTGGTTTACAGAACCTTTTTTTTTTTTGGGGGGGGGGGGCTTAAACTGAATCAATTTCAGCCATAACTGGGATTAAACAAAAACAGTGAGATGGATTCAAGTTACCCGTATTGCTTAAAGAGGACAACATGGACATTTTCTCTTCTTTTTTTCGTGAAAATAAATCATGTCTATCCTGTCCAATGGATTTCCTGATCACCTGGAACAGGAATAGCATATTCATGCTATGAGGAATATGAGGCTGCCATGTCCCTGTGTCTCTTCCCTCCATCTCCAGGTAATATTAAGGCTGCAATCCTATGCAAACTTACTTGGAAGTAAATCCAGTAAGGCTTGTTTCCATGCGGATATGTATAAGCACACACAGTTAACCAAGACAGAAAACAGCATTGGTAACTAGATGGATAACATGTCTGAACTGATGTCAAGGCAGTTTCCTGGCTCCCTATGCCTCAAGGACCCCAATCCTCAAGATGAGCTGCAGCAAAAAAATAAAAATGAAAAAATGGGGTGGTTGAGTTGGTGGGTAAAATACCCTTGACCTTCTGCCCTGGCTGGATTGAGAAGCAGGTATTCAGATATGGCAGTGAACTTGCTCCTTCCTGGTCCCACTTTGGCTTGCTCTGAGAGATGTAGCACTTTGCTTACCAGAGTAAGCCTCCTTGAACTGTGTGGGACTTCCATCTGCAATGCTAGCCCTACACTTCTTCCTGTTCAGGAAACTGGGAAGCATTTAACACTACTTAGGAGGTCACGGCTCAAAAAGGCAGTTGGGATGGGGGGGAAGGGATTTTGAGAACTTGCTTAGATTCATGTGAGTATTTTTCTAAGCACATGCCTTTTCCATGCTCCGAGCACAGCCCACCACGCTGCATCAAAGGAGACACCTGAGTTTTTGGAGCAAAACTTGTTTTAGAAGTCTGGCTACATAGGACAGCTGCTCATGGGAGAAGCTGAGTACTTATTTAGCATTCCAAAGTATCCTCCACCCACAACAGGCAATGAAGGCTGGAGAGACCTTTCCCTTCTCTTTTTCTACCCCCTCAAGAAGGAGAAAGAGCTCTAGGAAAATAAACAAGAACAGCTCCTTGTCGGAGGAAAGAAGTCATATCATTTTAAAACCTAGCTAGGCTCACAGTGACTCTCTTTGGAAAGAAGCGGTTTCTCGTATTGGAAATATTTCCAGGCTCGTTGGTCAGACTTCCCCACAGTTGCAAGTGAGGAAGCTGTGCAGTGCAAGTGACTAAGCTGTTTTTTTATAGACTAACAACAACTTTGTGCAATATTCTTACTATACAGTCGTACCTTGGAAGTCGAACAGAATCCATTTCGGAAGTCTGTTCAACTACCAAACGTTCGGAAACCAAAGCATGGCTTCTGATTGGCTGCAGGAAACTCCAGCAGCCAATTGGAAGCCCCGTCGGATGTTTGACTTCCAAAAATAGTTCGCAAACCGGAACAGTCACTGCTGGGTTTGCAGTGTTTGGGAGCCAAAACGTTCGGGAACTAAGCTGTTCCAAAACCAAGGTATGACTGTATATTCAGAGAGTACTGACATGTATGACGTGTTTTTATTCTGAATACTGAATATGCATTAGGAATTTTATTTATCACAATTATGTGTGCAATCAAAGTGACGTCTGGTGCTCTTACTAAAATACATTCCACTTACTAAAGTACATTGACACCAGGAAGTTCTGGGGTGACTGGATTTGTGTTTCAATGAATGCTTCATGATATGCTTTTCACATTAGCTAGCTGAAAATAAGGCGCATACAGGAAAATGCTAGCCTAATCTGTTGCATATTGTACTTGGTTTTACTGATGTTTCCACCTTGACTTTTCTATAACAGAACTCTAAATGAAAATAGAAATGGGGTAGCATCCAGGTTTAGGGGTAAACTACATGAAAACAACACCATTTGTGTTTTAAAGAAAAACCGGCTCTGAGGGATGAGATTTGGAATCTCCTGAACATTGTTCTATTTTTATATCTGGTGATGAAGACACCAATGTAACTATGGATGGGAACTTGGCTTGGGTTACACCAAACAGGAAATGTTAGCAATGAACAAGCAGTGAGGAGAAAGAAAGATACAAAACGCTGATCACACTGATACCATCTCTGTGGTTTAGCTGACCATATTACACACAGACATGCTGCTCTCATAAATGCAACTCTAACACAGTCAAATGTGAGTGCGGGCAACACCTGCAGAACAAGTCTTGTTGGTTGTAAAACCCTGATTCATCCAGATTCTAGTTCATGTGAACATTTTAAGATTATACATACATTTCAGACATTTTCATGTTATGTTGTACATGTCCATCGCAACAACTGCAATACAATGTCATTTCATGTCTGAGCAAGGCTTAGTTTTCTGTTTTTGCACCAATAGAGTGTTACCTCGGAAGTCGAACGGAATCCGTTCTGGAAGTCCATTCGACTTCCAAAACGTTTGGAAACCAAGGCGTGGCTTCCAATTGGCTGCAGGAAGCTCCTGCAGCCAATTGGAAGTGGCGGAATACACGTCGGATATTTGGGTTCCAAAGGACGTTCACAAACCGGAACACTCACTTCCGGGTTTGTGGCGTTCAGGAGCCAAAACGTTCGAGTCGCAAGACGTTCGTCCACCAAGGTATGACTGTACCAAGAAACATCTCTATGCAAAGACCTGCTGCGCCTGACTTCTCCACTATAGTGAATGGGATGTCTATGACAAGCCCACAAATCCAGGGCAATAGATCAAGCCGCTTGTTGTTTTGTGTTGCTACAGTATGTGGACAAAGGCAAACACTGTTCCAGAATTATTATGTTAGGCAAAAACCACTTATGCCAAAATGCTTGGATTTAAGTTGATAGACACATCAATCCTGAGAATGTATACTAGCATAATTTGCAATGGCATGGGGCAGTGTTGATGCATCATCAGCGTACCAGCTTATTGTGGGTCTCTGGAATGCAGTAGCTTCTGGTGCATCCCACTCTTAGTACATAGGGGCTTAAACAGTCCACCATCCTTAAATCCAAAATTCTGGCAAAACTGACAAGTAGGTGCTACTTTAATTGCATAGTTAAACAGACAGACATTCAAAACATTTTGCATAGTACTGAGCATGGGTGCCACTGTCTTGGCCATTGTCTTTTCTTTTCCTTGAATCGTAGCAGCTGAATAGTAGCAGCCAATATAGCCTTTGCTCCGTCTACTCAGGCACAATGTAATAATATAAAAGATATATATTGCTATAAATACATTTTTAAGATCTGCTTCACCAAAATATAGAAAAATAACTATGCCAAAGCAACAACTAGTAGAAATAACAAAACAAAACAGAAACATTACCAGATTGAAACATGAACTGGGCACACACTTCAGCCCTACCTGTGCAGGCGGAAGTCTCGCTCTTTGCCAGAGAGAAGGGGCTGGTGCCATAGCTGGCACATGGGAGCACCATCTCCACGAAAAGGAAAGGTGGTGGCGAATTATTTAAAATAAATACTCAAGTGCTTTGCTCTCTTTCAGCAGTGAAATAACACCCCCACCTGTCAAATTTCATTTCCTGTACTTTTTTTCGAGTTTTGATGCCACTTCCGAATGACAGTTCCGGAACTGCTAGCTACTACGCAAAGGGCACCTCCGACTGTCCACCACGTAGGCAAATGATTGAGGAAAATAATTTGGAAGATAAAAGCAAACACCACGTCCATTGTTTTCATTATAGCAACAGGACCAGCTTTCTCTATCTGCAGTGCTTTTGTAAGGAATATTTGGCCACCTAGACCCAACACTCCAATTAATACCAAGAGAAATCTATCTATGCCACAGTTGGGTAAACTCCACTCACCCATTACAAAAAGTGCTATTAGGCAAACTATTAACCCAATTACTGCATAATACCAAATGGACAAAAAATAATGCACCGATTTCCCCACCTTCCTTAGTATAACAAAAGTTGACGCGGCAGCTACGGCACTTGAAACAGCTGCTATTGTTCCTTTCAGGCGATCTCTGTACTCTTCTTCTATTCCAGCAACTCTGGATCCAAATAAAAAAGGTGGTCTTGCAATAAGCACCACTCCGGTGATTGTAAACAGAGTGAAAAGAATATCCCAAGGACTATACTTCTCCTTGAGAAATATCCAGGCCAATAGTGATGTAAAAACTGGGCTGCTGAAAGTAATGACTGTAGCGTCAGCAAGAGGCATCACTTGGAAAGCATAATAGAGAAGAATCATTGCACCAGAGCCAAGCAATCCTCGAAAGAAAAGAACGAGTCGTTTGCCTTCTGGTCCCAGAAATCCTGTTCTAAAATGAAAGAAAGAGAGATGTGTATAATTTAACTCATGGCTTAAGGTTTCCATGTTCATGCATCAACAGGACTTTGCAGTGAATTTCAGATCACAGAATGTTAAATAACATTGTGATTTTTCCAAAGCTGACACTACTAGGACTCTTTCACGTTCCAATAGTGTCCCCAACTTTGATGCATTTTGATCAAATGGTTATAAAGGCTCTTTGGCCTTCAGCTCTCTTCGTAGCTTGCAGCCTGAGATGCAGCAGCTGGGTGAGTTGAGGAACAACTTGTTATTTCCAGGACACATGGAGACCAGCCAGCCAGCATGTGAAAGGGCACCAGCAGACATCAGGGAAGGTTGTTATCAAAGGCTCCTTTGGGTCATTTTATTGGGTGGCAGGAAGACTATGAATTTTAAGCTTGTAGTTGCATGGGACAGCGTGTTGGGCTTTTCATTTTTGGAGCAACTATCAGTATTCTAAGTATTCCTGTTTTTATTATCCTTTTTAGAATGTTTTTGGCAGTTTCCATGGTCTTCAACTAGTCCAGACACAAGACTCACCTCTGACTTCTAACCTGTACCATGGGACCAACTTTCACATACAGTATTCACTTTTGACATACTAACAGTGCTAAAAAGGTACATTATTAATCCTAAAAATGGCAATTCATAGAGCAATATACATAGTGCTACCTTAGCATTAGAACTATATGAAAACCAGTGATTTTTACACTTGTTCTGAGCCAAAAGGTTGATAAGCTATTGAAAACCAGTGGGTTGTTTTTATTTAAAGACTCACAATTTCAGTGAAGCACCTGGGCATGTTTGTTTTTCTAGATATCATAATAATATATATTCCAGTGACTCTACAGTGGATGACAACTATATTCACTGTACACCCTCACACCCTTAAAATCTGCTTATTAGCTTGTTTTCTGGTGAACTATAAAAGTGAAGACTGCTGTGCTGAGCTCTACGTTTGTGTGTTGTAGGCTAGATTTTAGGGTATTTGAGGGAATCACTGCGGCTTCTGTTCTGGAGAACTGAAGATACTTCTGCATTCTAATCACTGCAACAGACACTTCTGCATTCTGGTCCCCAGCAAACATCGATTGTGCAAGAAGTCTAGAAAGCCACAGGAATAGATCGGAACGTGGGAGCCCCCATTCCAGAGTGTTCCCTTACTATGGGCATAGCTACAGGAAGGCGGGGCATACATTTGGCTAGAAATATCTTCCTCTTGCTTTTCTCCTGCCACTTTGCAGCACTCATTGAAATTGATAAAATGAGTGTCCCATCATCATGATGTGTTCTAGCCCAAACACTGCATGCAGTGCTCTTTTGGTTTGGTCAGCTGTAGCTGGAGTCCAAAATGGCAGAAGCAGCATTGCGACCCACAGATTGAAGACCTACCTGCTTGCCTTGAATCCCTGAATAATCAGAATGGGTGGTGGTGAGAGCAGCCTTAATTATTTTTGTTGGCATAAGCATTTCTCATAATCTCTTCAGGCCTCTAGCCTCACAGAGTGTGGAAGGCAAGGTTGGTGAGCTCATTAGTCTTCCGCCCAGGGAAGGCTTTTCTCTGCCCCTCCTTATATTGTTTCCCTTGCTGATTTATGGCATTTTGTTGAATTCTTACTGTATACTTGGTCCAAAAGCGGTATACAGTTGTACCTCAGCTCCCGGACACCTTGAAAGTCAAATGTTCTGGCTCCTGAACAATTGAAAACCGGGAGTGTTCCAGTTTTCAAACGTTCTTTTGGAAGCCGAACATCCAACGAGGCTTTTGTGGTTTCTGATTGGCTGCAGGAACCAATCAGAAGCTGCGCTTTGGTTTCTGAACGTTTCGGAAGTCAAACAGACTTCCAGAACAGATTACGTTCGACTTCCATGGTTTGACTGTATAAATAAATGGCAATAATAATAATAATAATAAATAATCCAAAGTGCATTTTTTCTTAGCTTTGCCTCATACAAAGGAGGCATAATACTCACCTGTAGTATATTAAACCAGGAAGGACAAATGTCATTTGGAAAACACATCTAATGGCACTGACTTCCACTGAATGAACACCTTCAATTTTCTTGAGGAATAAAGATGCCACAGAGAAGAGAAAGGCAGACAGCAGCGTATAGAACAGGCCAAGCCCTGGACAGGTCCTTTCCCCTTTATTCCTGGAACAAAACAGTTTCCAGTTAGCAATTAACAATTTAGTTGTAATTTCTTCAACTGAATTTGAAACGGTTCTTTAAAAAAAATATGTCTACTTTGAGGAGGGAAAGAAACAAAAGAAATACATTTAGTGCAATTGAAGGTATACAGTTGGTTTTTTTAAAAAAAGATAACAGAAATTTTTGACATGATGGTATGGACTGTAATTTTACTCTTTCAAAAAGTTCTATGTTTATCTGCATGTTGCATTTTTTCAACTTTTTTTTTTAAGTAGTCTCAGAGTGGGGTGTATAAATCCATGCACCATGTTTGCAAAATAGGTCCATTTGCCACATTCATTACATAGCCCAACCAACCATTCTGATAAATTTTGGCATCAAGAAATATTAACCTGCGTTCCCGAGGCTATATGAATGAAAATTACTGCAGGCTCAAGCATCTATCCCAGTGTTTTTCCCAAGCATTGTTGGGTAATACTTAAGAAATCAACCTTACATCTTATTTGTATTAGGAAAAATCTTGAGTTTTTAAAGCAAATGTAAAATATTAGTTTTCTTATCTAACTGTAATGAATAACAATATAACTTACACCCACTAAATATGGTTATTTCTACTTGTTTCATTATATATTGTGTGATACCCTATTATTTTACAATGAGCTGGCTACTTAGAGGAAGTTATCCTGTTGTGCAAATATCTTAACTTTAGTATCCCAATAATATGAACACAATTCTGGGTAGAGGTGGTAGAATGCCATCGGAGTTTCTTTCCCACAACTTATTTACACCCAAAACAAATATAATGATGTTTTGTTAAAAAAATAATATAAAAAAGAACCTTGAATCCTGGAACTGTTAGCTGTGTAGGGATACCATCTAAGAAGATTAGAGAGGCAACAGAGTTATCTTCAGAAGAAAGCAGTGGTTTGGCAGGGCATTTTTGTCGGTTGCTAAGCAACTTGGAATCACAACCTGGAAGCTGATAAGCAACCTGGAAGCTGAGAATCAATGTTTTCTAACATTCAGCTGCTGTGAATCCAAGGTGACAGAATATGCACAGACATGCTTTGGCTGCCTTGGTCCCAAGATTTCAACTGGTAAAGTCAACTTCTGAGCAGCAGCCTGTCTCTGTTTTGAAAGGGCTGAAATCTCCAAGCGCTGGACACACTGAGGTTAGGCTTAATGTGAGAATGTACACATATGAGGAGTAGTTACAGGTAGGTAGCTGTGTTGGTCTGCCGTAGTCAAAACAAAAGAATTTTTTTTTTCAGTAGCACCTTAGAGACCAACTCAAAGCTCATACCCAGGCTTCCTCAAACTCGGCCCTCCAAATGTTTTGAAACTACAATTCCCATCATCCCTGACCACTGGTCCTGCTAGCTAGGGATCATGGGAATTGTAGGCCAAAAAACATCTGGAGGGCCGAGTTTGAGGAAGCCTGCTCATACCAACAACAAACTTAGTTGGTCTCTAAGGTGTTACTGGGGGAAAAAATTTATTTGGTATGAGGAGTTGGACATGTTAAGTCGACAGGGTCCTTTTACCAGCCTGCCTGCATGAAGGTGCAAACAACTCTCTTCTCGATAAAATCAATTCCTGGAAATTAAACCTGAGCACTTCTACTCTTAGCCGATCCAAATCTAAAAGTCATCTGGTTAAGTTTCCCACGTAACACAACACTTTCCTTGTTTTGTCCTAAAAGAGGCATCTACTTATGGAATTCTCTGGAGGCATTCCGTGGAGCAGAAGGGGAGAAATTGGGTTCAATTTGCATCTACAGGCAAAATGTATCAAATTCGCACTTCCTAAAACAATGAAAGAATCGAAACATTGGCATCCTCCAAAATTCACACTCATCCAGAATTAGCTGTGCAGTTCTCCAACCAAAGAATGCTTATGCATATATTAGGGGGGGAAATGTGCATACAAATATATTAGTGAAAATATCATGCAAAAATTCATAACATTAGGAGAAATTGATTGCAAAAATCTGCTCACTAGTCAAAACTGCACATAAAAATGTGTTAGGAAAAATTCACACTAAAATGCTTTAGAATTTTCAAGAGGATTTTTAAAAAGAATTTTCACAAATTGCTATAGAAATGTAGAGAACTGAGAGAACTGTAACCAACAATCCTTCCATCCTTATGCACAATGGGTCTGTTATGGCATAACTCTTCCTATATTCTTACATACTAAAGCAGTCTTCACCTACCTGGTGCCCTCAAAATGCTTTGGACTACAACTCCCATCAGCCCCAGTCAGCTGTGTTGATGGGAGTTGTAGTCCAAAACATCTGGAGGACACTAGGTTGGTGAAGGCTGTACTAAAGCATATTTAAAATTCCAGTTTACTCAGAAGTGATGCTAAAGCTTTCTGGAGACTTGGCCACAAGATTACAACACTGGATCATGTAGCAACAGGATGTAAAAAGGATCCAACCAAGCTATTTAAAAAAAATCAACTGAAATCAATACAGATAGCTTGGGGTTCATCCTATGACGCTGCATATTCTCATCTTGCGAAATCCATGATCTCCTCTCGCAATCTCCCTATCTCAGATTCTCTTCCTATTTTCCTAATCTATCTCGAAAACCCCTTTCATTTTCTAGCCCTTTTTCTTCCTGTTTATCTGTGGAGATGTCCTCCTTCACCTCCATATATTCCTAAACGCCAGTTCTAGCTCAGGTTCAGAACTTTCTCTTTGTTTTCAGTCTGCTCCAAAATTCTAGACTGCCACGGGCAAACTTGGCACAACGTATAGGTTCTTCACAACACATTTGTCTTCAAAATCCCCAGAAGTTCTTAATATGGTGATTTAATGTGACCACATACTGTTGTGGTGGAAAGGCAACCAATAAATGAAATGAAATGAAAGTTACATCTACATGGGTTTAACTTTCACTGCATTTCACTGGCTTTCTATCAGACCAGTACAGTGGTACCTCGGGTTACATACGCTTCAGGTTACATACGCTTCAGGTTACAGACTCCGCTAACCGAGAAATAGTGCTTCAGGTTAAGAACTTTGCTTCAGGATGAGAACAGAAATCATGCAGCGGTGGCAAGCGGGAGGCCCCATTAGCCAAAGTGGTGCTTCAGGTTAAGAACAGTTTCAGGTTAAGTACAGACCTCCGGAACGAATTAAGTACTTAACCCGAGGTACCACTGTACTTGAAGCACCTGGGCAGTAGTGAGTAACAAAGAACACCTGGGCCTCTAATTTGTGCATAATCTTATGCATGTCTATTCAGATTTAAATCCCACTGAGCTGAATGGCACTTACTCCCATGTAAGTGTGTTTAATAAGACTGCAGCCTTAATACAGGAGAATCCCCAGTTATGTGAGGGTTCTGTTCCTGGCCGCCACATGGATCACTGGGATATGTGTAAGTGAGGATTCCCCTGTTCTGCCCCTACCCAACCCCCTTTCGGCACTGCAAATGGTGCGCGTGTCAGTGGGAACGCATGTGCTGATTGTGTACAAGTGGAGAGACACCTGTACAGGAAGAGGCAAAATCTGAAGAACACATTGGGGGGGGGTTGGTTTCAAACTATCATCTATGGCAGGTATATAAGCAAACTCCAGTAACAATGAACTAAACAGGGCTGCCCACTCTCTTTCAGAAAAGCTCCAGAGCAGGGGCCTCTGTGACATATTGGAACAGAAAAGAATAGATTTCAAAGGATGCTAAATCTCAAGGCATATTACTGCTTGAGGTAAAGCACACACATCTCTGTTTAATCATAATGGGTTTTAATCTAAAGTGTTATTAGAAGAACAAACGTGCCATTCTCTCTCTGAACCTACAGTGTAGCTGTTGGCAGAGCTTCACAACATTAGCCAATACAGACCGATATAGATTTGATCCCTTAATTACATTATTGCCCCAATTTGCTCTTCTTGTCCAATACAGACCCACATTAATGGAAATTTTTCTCTGAAATATTGGATTAAAATAAGGAGCCTCAGAATGGACTGAAGCTGAAGAAGGAAAAAAAGCCATGCTGATCTACAGAATGAAGAATAAGAACAAAATATCAAGTTTTGGTGTAGCAGTCTACTTTGATTACCTAAAAGATAAAAGTGCCAGACTTCTGCACAGACTTCGTATATGACACTAATTCTCTGAAGTTGTTGCTGTAGAAAAGGATGTTTAGGGATGCTGGAAAAGCGAACCTCTGCATTATTAACAAAACACCAAACTTTCATATTATAAAGGGAAGGTATCATAGTCAATTGTACTTTCTTTCTCTTTAAAAAAAAAAAAGCTGGGCTGGTATTCCAGACTAGCAAAGCAAACACTGTAGAAACGAATGACCTTCTTACTGCAATTAAAAAGAAAGAAAAATATTATAGGTTTTAGAGCATCTGTCCTTTCAATGTAAACTTCAAGAACGGAATAAGATAACATTCCTCTCTTCTTCAAGCGCTATCCTTCGTCACACAATGGCTCTCTTGGGGAATGTCTCCAACTCAGTGGAGGAGAACTTATCTTGCATGCAAAGGTGCCTCCAGGTAGATCTGGGAAATATGCCTGCTGAAACCCCGGGGAACTGCTGCCAGTCAGTGTCAACAATACTGAGCTAGATGGATCAATGGTCTGACTTTGTATAAAGCAGCTTCCCATGTTCTCAAAGCACAGTAGGTTTCCATTCAGCACTGAGAAAACAGCGGCAAAAAGGTGTTCAGTGCCAAAGCACAGCAAACAGTGACACCCACAATTTCTCTGCTGGGTATATAAAGTTTTAAGAAACAGTGTTATTCTTTCAGTATTCCATTTGCCTAATGTTGTTTTATGGCTAGCTCCGCTCTCAAGAGAAGGATCAAAATGGAGAACTGAAATTACAATAAACAGGTATTCTATATGGAGGAGCATTCAGCCACACGAATCCTCATCCACCTTAAGTTTGAAGTGGCACAATCCAGACAACATCCAAAATATGTAGGTCCCCAAAATGGAACGATCCTACAACCTACTCAATGGCTTCCAGAATGTAGCAGCGCCCATGCTGGATCAGGCCAGTGTCCCATTTAGTCCAGCATCCTGTTGTCACAGTGGCCAACCTGATGCCTATGGGAAACCTGTAAGTGGGACCTAAACACAACAGCACTCTCCTCTCCTGCAGTTTCCAGCAACTGGTATTCAAAAATATTGCCTCCAACTATGGAAAAAGAGTACTGTATAGCCATCCTGACTTATAGCCACTGATAGCCTTTACCTCCCTGAATTTGTCTAATCCTTTACATTATCGACAGACGCTTCAATACACTGTGTGCAAGACCAGTGTCTCTGACTGTCACAGGAACTTACCACTAGAAATGCAAAATAATATTAAAGACTCTCTTGATTTGGAAAAGTGGCTGTGGCGGCAGCAGGGGGAAAACAAAATAGTTCATGTGTTATCTAGGTCTCTGGACAGTCCTTTGCTTTGTAACGTCTCGCCAACTCATATAAACTTGGAATAAAACTTCTACACAGCAGATTTCTCCGCAAGCTTAATCCTACACACTATGACTGCTCTTGCTGAAAGCACTGTTACTATAGCAGCTCACAAAATGCTAGGCTGACAAATCACCACTCTTTAAAACAAAAATGGTTATGTTCTGAGTGCCTCCCTTATGGCTCCAAGGGGTAGATGATTAGATAATTAAATATTAACATAGCTTTTCAATGTATGATTAAAATAAACAATATTAGATGGCTTTTCCATTGCCAGCCTGATTAAACATGATAGTTACATATGTTGATGTAATTATTGTGTATGTTAGCAAGAGAGTGTGCAAGTACAAATTATGCTGTAGAACAAAATGTCCTTTGTTGCAGAATATATTTCATACTACAGTACTTCAGGTCAAGAGAGAAAGACGCATAGTATAGGACCACCAACAGTTTAGTTACCCCTTTACAAAATATAACCACCCTTATGTTTTCATACACAAGCTACACACCTTCCTATATACATAAAAACGCCAGGCTATCTACACATGCACCCTACTTTGGTGGATTTGTTGTACCCCATCACAACCAACCCTGGATTTACATGAAGTAAGGATGCAGTAGGGGAGCTAAAAACAAGGCAGGTTGCACAACAGCAGTGGCCATGGCATGAGAGAGAGAAGAGAGGGATACTGAGAGGGGGGAAGTGGTGATTTCAAATCGTGGCAGAAGTCAGAGTAAAGCAGGGATGGAAGGAAGAGCGAAATTGTGGTTTTAAACAACAGCAGAGGTTTGAATTAAGTACCTTCATACAATGGAATATGTGAGGGTTCCGCATCCTTTATCTCTCTCACATGAGGCAGCTGAGGAATGGAAGAAGGAGAAGTCTAAGTACAGCGAGAAGGGAGAAATGGGGTTGGGAAGGTGAAAAGCATGTTTGTCCTTGCACGGGGAAGGGGAAGTTCTCTCTTAAAGTGTGGGGGAATAATAATAATAATAATAATAATAATAATAATAATAATAATAGTAGTAGTAGTAGTAGTAGTAATTATACCCCTCCCTCCCCGGCCAGAACTGGGCTCAGGGCAGCTAACAACAAATATATAATACATTAAAACACAAAATCAAATTAGTTGCCACCAGAGAAAGCAGAGACACAGCCCCTAGTACTCTATAATAATTAAAATGCAATTCACCAATTCCTTACTCGATATCATACACATCGATTTTTACACATAAGCACAGGATTTTTAAAAATTAGAAGAAAAATAAAGCTTATTAAGGAATAGATAAGCTGTGCTAAGTGATCTTAGGAGGGCAAAGGTGTTAGAGACCAGCGATGGCAAAGGTTTCTCATTACCTTTTCAACTTGCCACCATTATGTGTTCGGTAAAGGCACTAACCTGCCTTGACAGGGCGCTGGGAAATTCTAGGTTAAGCCCATGCGCCCTAACTCTTAAAAGTTTTAAAACAAAAGTGAAACGGAATCCCTAAAAATGCACTTTTCTTTTTTTTGAAAGAGAGCCGCACGTGCATGGCACTGTATATAAACAGAACCACAAATCAAAGAACCAAGGAGGGCCGAGAGAGAACAAGAATTGTTGTTGCTGCTGCTGTTGTGACTACCTTAAGCGGATGTATTCAAGGTTGGCAAGGATTTGGGCAGAGCCTAAAAGGAGCAGCTCGCGGGCACCTCGCGTGGAGAGAGGCAAGATGCAGCCGGCCTTGCCACGAGGCCAAGCGGCGAGGGAGCGCCGGCTCACCCTAGGGCGCACCAGGGCACTGAGACGCCCGCCGGTCGGAGCCTCCGCCCGAGGCCGAGAAGAGGCGCGCAAGGCGCGCGGCGTTGCGCCTCTTCGCCCTGCCTGCTGCCGGCTCGCCAGCCTCCTCTCTCCCCGCCCCGCCTGCCCTCACCCACCGGGCGTCCCGCGTCTCCAAGGGAAACTTCCTCGGAAGCAGCCGCCGTCGCCGAGGCTGGCAGCGCCTGCTGCCGCTTCCAGGTCGTGCACCTGGCAGAGCCCGCCATCCTCGCCGTTCCTATCGTGGCCCCCGGGAGGAGGGGGATCTTCTGCCTCCCACCGCCCTCCTTCTCCTCCGGCGGCATCCTCCTCGCCGCCCTGACGCTGCACCATGAGGACCGCTCCTCCGGCTCCGGCTTCGCCACAAACTGCTCGCCGGCTCTGTCCGGCGAGGAGCCGGCAACTTCGGTGCGCGTGCGCGGCATGCCGGCCGTGACGCCGCCCCCCGCCTGCTTGCCTGCCTGCCTGCTCTGCGCCGGCCGGGCGGCCTGCTTCCCTGCCGAGGGGGATGTTTACATGGCCCGGCGTGAACTGCTGCGACCTCCGCGGGGAAGGTGGCAGCCTCGAAGGCTCCGTCAGGCCGCGGCGCGAAGCCCCCTCTGCCCCATTCCCCCCGCTCTATCGAGAGCCGAGCCATAAATACAGCTCTTCCCAAGCTTCCCCTCAAATAATATTTTGGTGGAGGGAGAAACTCATGCCAGAAATCATGTGTTGAGGTTGTTCCTGGATTACCGAAATATTCCTTCGTGTGCTTAGCCAAGAGAAGCTAGGCTTCCTGCGGTTTAAGTCTCGCTTCTGCCCTTATCTCAGTAGGTGACCTTAGGGCAAGCCACCTCAGTCCTCTTAAGACCTCCAGGTATGGGGCGGAATATAAATTCAATAAATAAATGAAATAAAATAAGTAATTGCTTTAAAAAGAATTGTAAGAAGGTATGAAATAACGTGCGCAGCGCTTTGAACACCATGTGTGGTGTGCATGTATATGTTGTTATTTATTATTATTTAAAGTATTTGTTCCCGGGAAGCAATGGGTGGGTCATTTGCATTTGCTACAGCTACAGCTGAAAATAGTACTTTTAGGCATGTGCCTGAAGGGAAGGGCTTGAGCAGTGCAGGATTTACGTATAAGCTAAACAAGCTATAGTTTAGGGCCCCACTCTCTTGGGGGGGCCCCAAAAAAATTAAAGGGGAAAAAACCTGGATGCACATTTCCAGTATATAAGATTAAAATAAAACCTACATACAGCAACAGTGGCAAATGGCGTTAGATACCTATTAGGTCCATAAATTACCATATAACATATATGCAACACAAAAAACAGTGACAATTTGTTGTTGACAAAGGGCAGCTGGACATATAAAGGGCCCCATTACCTTCAGGAGTTAAGGGACTCATCAAACCTAAATCTGGCGCTGGGCTTGAGCATGCTCAGTGATGCATTTTGAAAAGCAGACCACCACCTCCCTCCAAGTATAAGCCATTTTTCAAACTCTTCAAACCACCTATTCTCACAATACGCATTCAACCTGAGGTATGACTGTACAGGCCTTGGAACTGTTTCTGGCTGGCCTTGGCTTTGTGCAGCCGCTATATCAGGAAAGCTGCTCAGTCAAGCCTGGCTGTCATCAGAAATATGGAGTAATAGGAACGGGGGGATCCATAGGAAGTGACCACCTTTTTAGGAGCGCTTATATTATTGTCCAGTAGTCCCTGCGTTTTGGCACATTGTAAAGATTTGTTGTGGAACAGCCAAGTATGTAGCTGATCTTTGGGAAGTTAGCTCTAGATCATGGGTAGGCAAACTAAGGCCTGGGGGCCGGATCTGGCCCAATCACCTTCTCAATCCAGCCCACGGACGGTCCGGGAATCAGTGTGTTTTTACATGAGTTGAATGGGTCCTTTTATTTAAAATGCATCTCTGGGTTATTTGTGGGGCATAGGAATTAGTTCATTATTATTTTTTTCAAAATATAGTCCGCCCCCCCCCGCAAGTTCTGAGGGACAATGGACCGGCCCCCTGCTGAAAAAGTTTGCTGACCCCTGCTCTTGAGGTTTGCAACACAGGGGCAGGGGCGTACGGTCTTGGGGAGCAGAGAACTCACACTCCTCTACTCTGGTTTTGAGAGGCTAGGATCCCACCTGCCCATTTGCAAGCTCCCCAAACCACTCCTCTACTGCTCTGGACAGCCAGGCTCCTCTGTGCGCCTCAACAGAGGAATCCAGTCACGTAAGGGACCGGGCGGGGGGTGCTGATATAGCTGCTTGCACAGGAATGGAAACCCAAATGGGAAATTATAAAATGTTAGGTGCACTAATCCAATTACTGGGGAAACAAAAGTTCCTGTGGGAGGCAATCAGCTATTTCCCAGTACTTTATTGTGCTGTTTGCTAAACAGCAGGTCTGATTGCTCAGTATTATGGGTATACATAAAAACTAGTTGTATTATTTATGCAGTTTAAGCAGGGCCAGTTTTAGATGAAGAGAGGCCCTAGGCTATTCCACTTGTGAGGCCCCTCCCCATCCCCCACCCTCACAACTAGAAGAAAATGGAAGAGTATTATAAACAAAATTGAGTGAAGCCAAGGACGATAATGGGTATTTAAAATTCTACAATTCACAATTTCTCCTCTAAAGGACATAAGATATTATTGTTAAATACCATGGTGATTTTAAAAATTGAATAAAATTAACATTGAAAATCTTTTGCCTATGGCCTGGGCAGGCCGAGTCGTCCTCTTATATACCTGCTGGGATTGACAAGGCATCTGACCCTCACCTTAATCTCATAGCTCTCCTGTAGCTGCCTCTGATTGGTTATCATTTAACTCTCATGGGAAATAATTAGCATCACATGTCATGTGCATGGAAGTGGCCAAACCAATTAACCAACTAGAAGGATTACTGTTAATAGCACCAGTTTTCCTATACTGTAACTTGATATTGCTGAATTGCCTGCCCAGGCCATTGTGTGTATATTTCAGCGGTTGAACGTACAAGTTTATGACCATGCTATAGTGTAGTGCTTATGCGACTGTGAATAAAAGCTGGCTGGGTTCATTGTCTCGGGGTTTGGGGGGCAAGAGGTGACAAAACTGATTTCCAATAAGTGCCCCCCTTTATTTCCATAACAAGTCTGTACTTGTACAGAGTCTGTACTCTAAACAGTGACACCAGGGACCTAAAAAGTGCAGGGCTTGTCAGTCCAACCCCTGCACAGTCTCATTTTAATTGCTTATATGTCAGCGGCTCCGGGAGCCTTTTTGGCTGGGAGAGTGGGAAACGAATGCTCTACTAAATAAGCCATGGGTTGCCCCCTCATTTTAAAAACAAAGCAACAGTACAATTTCAACCAGCTGAATAGTGTTACCTACACCCCTCAGTGGTGAGAGGTTTCAGGGGTCCCCACACGTACCTTAGGTTTGGGTTTCTTGGAATAATGGATATTGGAAACTTCTGTCATTTGTGTGATTTAAGACTTATTTACACATGCATACATTGAGCATAATACAAAAGGCTTGCAGCATTAACACTTCAACATATCATGTTCTCTTATTTAGCTTTGCAGGTGGGCCCAGGTTCAAGAAAGACCCAAAAAGGTTAGCTTTCCTTCTCCCCCTGCCCAGGCAGAGAACAAAAAGATGGGCAATCCTCCACCTTCTTGCTCATTCAGGAAGGTGAGCCGATAACAAAAGAGCATGCACAAGTAAAGAACTGGCCAGGCCAGTTCCTATACCTTTGCTAATCCTCTAATCTGTTTTTTATAGTCCATGGAGGATGTCCTTGAGAATTTTTTCAAACTACCCCCACAAACACATTACAATAGTCTTCCACTTCCTAGGGAAGTCTGAGATGATAACTATGAGGGGGGACTAGGGATCATTAACAGAGTATTCTCAACACTCTCATCAAATTACAGGATTCTTTGGGGCAGGAGGAATGCCATGAGAGGAAAACTGGTTTAAAACTGATGGAAATTTGTATTTTTGGTAGATGTTACTCCCATCTACATGTTTGTTGACAAACTCAGGGGAATTGAAATGTTTAATGAAGCAGGACACCCCTCAGGAGAAATTGTGCTGATTTTGGGGGCAGCAAGGCATATTTGTTTAATAATTCTGTTTTAATAATGTTGCCTCAAAAATTTCCAAGGACTTACATAAGGTATTTATAATTTCATGCACTGCCCTAGATCACTTTTAAGGAAACGGTATTACATTAGTAGGGTTGCTGTATTCCAGTTCCCCAAACCCAGGCAGCCTAAAGTTGGATATTCATTATAAGCTTTCAACACAAAATAAGACATGAGTTAGAAAGCGCATGTATTCCTATCTTTGATGCTATGGTTTGTTTGTGTTTGTTTTGTTCTTGAAAAGGGGGCATACTGCTGCCTAATCACACTCTAAAATACTAGATCTCTTATTTTTAAGGGTAGGTATCTGAAATACTCTGACAGAGAGAGAGAAATAGTTTCAAAAGAAACCAGAAAGTTCTACCACACAATCGATTTGTGGCTCACATATTTCCTAATGATATCTCTGCTTCCCTTTTATTTTATCTCTGTTTCCATATTTATTTTATTTACATACCACCCAACTGTGAGGGTAGTGGGGAGGGGGCTATTGGTCCCCCCCCCAATTTTTATTACGTATTTGTGTTTTTATCTTGCATTTTTATGCTGTCAACTGTCCTGAGATCTTCAGATAAAGTGTGGTATACAATTTTTGCTCAAAGAATACCAAGCACAGTAGTTTGTTAAGGGTTGCTGGAAATTCTGTGAGGTGTAACTCTGTGATGTGTAAACTACAGTGCCCAGAGTTCTTTGAGGGAAATAATCTGTTCTGAATGTGTTTTGTGTACACACGAAGACTCTCAGAAGCATGCCAGCCAGACTCAGTAACTTTTTCATGTGCATTTTGTTGACAAGTCCTAAAACATCTCATTGTCTCTGCTTGACTTGTCTCATCAGATATTCTCCCCAAAAAGTGGTTCAGGTGTGAACATCTGTCAAACATCTTCCACAGTGAAGAGCAAAGCATTCTTGTAGCTTCTCTATGGTCTCCCTATCTTCCTTCAACAATCATCCTACACATTGACTAACGATTCAGCAGCCTTCCTGGATTTTCTGCTTGTGATGTAAAGGAATCTGTATTGTTTGTTTGTTTGTTTTAAACTTTTCACAGTCTTGTTAGGAACGCAGGAAGCTGCCTTACGCTGAATTAGACCATAGTTCCATATTCGTCAGTATTGTCTATGCCGAACCACAATCCTTCTCCCATTTATTGACAACATAAACTTCCATTTTCTAGACATCATAATTTTAATTATGCACACCTATAAAAAGACAATAACATATTTACTTTATAATCTTGCTATTACTTAGGAGGTAATATCCAGCACATCTACTCAGAAGTAAGCCCCAATGGAGCTTACTCCCAGGTAAGTGTCTATCGATCTGCAGTCTTCTAAAAAATATTGGGTTGCTTCTGCTGACACCAGGTACTGTGCTGTTGAGGAATAGGATCTGTTTCATAAGCCTAGGCTAATGTGAAAAGGGCTGAGCCATTTCAGGGCTGTGCTTGTTTTTGCCAAGATATACAAAGCTTCCAATTTCATACTGGCCAAGCAGCCAATAAAACTGCCAAAGATGTGTCATGTCACAAGGTTCAGAAACACTTGTCCACTTTGATCCTATTTTTTGAACAATACGGTTAGACCTTCAGAAAATGTAGATGTGCTTTTTACAAACAAATATTTACTCTAATGACAAATTAACAAAAAATATATTTTATAAGAAAATGGGGGGGGGGAGTGCTGCACCCAACTAATTTTACCAGTTGGACCTCTAACAAAATGTTGCCATGTGGAATCCAACCACTCCATTTCCCCTCCCTCTGGTTTTCTGGTGCCCCCCCCCCAATAATCAGCAATAAATGCCCACTGAGCATACCAATTATCACTGGACTCATTTGATTTTTTTTTTCCTTGGGAAGCTCCCCCAATCCCTGTAAATACTTTTGTACTTCTGAAAAACCTCATGGTTCCCCTAAGTCTGCTGATAACTCATGTTTTGTCATATTGCTTCTAAAAAGTCTGGCACTCAGAAAATTGAGGTCACTATTAGTACAGTGGTACCTCGGGTTACAGACGCTTCAGGTTACAGACGCTTCAGGTTACAGACGCTTCAGGTTACAGACTCCGTTAACCCAGAAATAGTACCTCAGCTTAAGAGCTTTGCTTCAGGATAAGAACAGAAATCGCGGTGCGGCAGCAGCAGCGGGAGGCCCCATTAGCTAAAGTGGTGCTTAAGGTTAAGAACAGTTTCAGGTTAAGAACGGATCTCCAGAAGGAATTAAGTTCTTAACCCGAGGTACCACTGTATATAGAGCTGGATCTGCAACAAACTCTGGTGTTCTGGTTTAATTCCATTCACCCTCCACATACATCAATAGTGTTCTATTGCCACTGAGCATACTCAGTTCTCATTGGGCTGTTTAGTGCAGGGGTCGGCAAAGTTTTTGTGGCTTGGGCCAGTTCATGGTCCCGCAGACACCGCGGTGGGCCAGAGTGCGTGCACGCATGCACAAACACTATTTCCGGTATGGAGAAGGCGTGCACAGCTTACCATTGGTTGCAGGAGCTTCCTGCAGCCAATGGGAAGCCGGCCAGTGTCACGGAAGGCGGTCCCCACTCTGCTCTGCGCCGGTTTAGCACGGCACATGGGAGCCAACCAAGCGGGTGTCGGAGTTCCCCGAGCGGGCAGCAGGGGTCCATGGGCCAGTTAAACGACCCCCCCATGGGCTGCTTGTGGCCCATGGGTCTTAGGTTGCCAACCTGTGGTTTAGTGTATGGTCTGAAAGCACAAGTCCACCATCTTGTCGAAGCTCGGTAGGTCTGGGGCTCATCAGAGCCTGGATGGATGACTGCCTGGTAATCACATGTACATCATCCTGGGTTCCATGATGAAAGAAAGGTGGGATTTATTTTAAGAAAATAAATGTGTATTTGTAGTTCTGAAAAGCTTGCACCCCACATTTGTGTGGGGAAGTGGCATTTTGGCTACATAAGCACTGGCACAGTCTGAGCATCAAAAACAGAGGAAATAATGAGGCAATACCGTGGCTTGGTGGTAGAGAATCGGCTTTGCATGCAGGAGGTCCCAGGTTCAAACCTGGCTTCTCCAGGTAGGGAAAGACTGCTATTTGAAATGCTGGAGAGCTGCTGCCAATCTGTGTCGAGTAGACAATACTAAGCTTGATAGACCAATGCTCTGACTCAGTATAAGGCAGCTTCCTATGTTCTTCCTGCCATGGCTTTCCACAAAAGATCCTGGTAATTTATAGACACTTCAAATTCACTATTAGCCACCCCTAATTCCCCTTACATAAATACAACTCACAGGATTCCTTGAACAAGTTTATGGCAATAAGTTACCAAGGTTTCTGAGTTTCTTCACAGAAATACATATATTTGCATTTGCCTACTCCTGAATATTTTTTTCTGTGGCAATAGGCATTTGACAGTGAAAGTGAAGGTAGGTTTTTGTGAGGAGGTGATGCACTCTCTTTTTTTCTCTCTCCCCTCCCCTTTGGCCTATACCCTGGAATAAAGGATCGAATCTGAGTCAATATTTTCAGGGTGCCTGTCGCTCGGAATGTGGCAAGGCGACAGTTCAGGATTTGGACTTTGGATTGGAAATGCAAGCCTCTGAGTCACATTTAATATCTGAGTGTATCAGCAGCTTTAATAAATTGTGAAAAGGTCCCATCTCATTAACGTGTGAAAAACAAATGCAAGCATTGTCCATTTCCACTTATTTACAAGGTGAGTTATCCTGGGATACCAGCCCCTGAACTGCTTTATTCCAGGAATGAATCAAAGTTTAAAATGAGTTTTAAAAGAATCAACACATCCTGGCTAGAAAAGAGGCTTTAGAGCTGCTTCTCTTTTACATAAACATATAAACAATAGTTCTGAGAAGTTAGTTGTAAAACTAAGTAGTTAGTTGGGAAGTCAATTGTACAGCTAGTTATAAGTACATTACGGCAAATCTGATCTAGTTTTTATGGTATAATGTGCAGTTCCAATACTTCTTGAAGCAAACACGCATACACTCATATATGTACATATGCCACATAGAATGCAACTCCTGATACCCCCATTTGAAATGAAAGCTCAACATGAGACCGAAGGAGCTTTTTTGAGCTCTCTTTCCACTAAAAACACCTCAGCCATCCCATGCAAACAATTTAAAGTTACATTAATGGTTTTGAAAAAGTAAACGGTACTGCTGAACTGGGCAACTCACACCTGCGAGTCCCCCCCCCCCATGGATTCAGACGCAACTGAGGGTTTACACTTGCTGTTTGCATTGAAAGAGAACTTTTCTTCCAATGCAAACAGCAGGCACGAGAGCCGGACAGTATCAGGACTGCAGCAGGAGGGCAAATGGTTAAACCCCACTGCCTCCCCTGAGTCTCAATCTCGATTGGTTTGGGGCCCCCACACCTCCTATGTACTATTTAAAAGCCATTCATGCACACGCTAATCTCATCTAGTTTGGCCATGGCTGAGTGCCATGTTTGATGTGGGCAGGAGATTTCCCCATCTGACCTATCAGGTCAGATTCACAATGACTCAGGTCCCTCTCCCCAACTCCTATTGTGAGTCATCTTCAGCTGCCTTGCATTCTCTTTATCGGTAGCACAGTGTCAACCAGAGGTTAGGTGCTGCCTTGATATTTCCAGCTCTGGAAGTATGATTCTATCCTCTCCCATCCCTCTTTCCTTTTGTAATAGAAACTCTTTTGTGGGCAGCGGAGGTGGGCAGCAATGCATCTCAAGCACTAAGCACCCCCCGCTCTAGGTTTGAGTTGCTGTTTCTTCCCCTACACCCCCATTTTTCTGTTCTTCCTGGGCTGCCTCTTTCCCCCTAGCCCCTCCCCAACTCCCCTCTGGGGCTCAGTGGCCTTGAACCTTGACCCTGTGTTTCTTGAAGCGGAAATGAAAATGGATTACGTCGGTCTTCGCTCTGTACATCACTGTCTTCTCCACCACCCACCACTTCCCTGCCTTGAGGGCCGCCCTCCCCAAACCCTTAAGCTGGTCTTAGCTATGAGGAAAGGCTACAACATTTGGGATTTCTTAGTTTAGGACACACGGGTGAGTAGGAGAGGCATAACAGATGTGTGCGAAGTTGTACATGGTGTGGCTGGGGATAAATTTTCTCCCTTTCTCATTATTCTTGGACTTCAGACCATCCAATGGAGCTGACTGTTGGAAGGAGAGGAAACAGAAGTCATGTTGTACCAGCAGATCTCCTATATACGTAACAGTGAACTATCACGTTACCAGGGGATGGTAAAGTGCTCCTTGTACCTACTTCTGCCAGCCAGTTTCCTGTTTACAGCAGTTTCAAACATATTTCCTGCTGTGACTTGGCAATATCCCAGTCAGGTGGATGGTCACGCCTGAGCTTGAAGCATAGCTGTTCTCACACATAACTGTTCTTATCACTTTGTCGTGTAATGCCCTCAATGACCTTTAACAATTGAAATTAAAATTCTGTTCTCTTGAAAGGACACTAAAAGAAACTGGTGCAATCTTGGAACCGTTAATGACCTGAACAAATGTACATTATTGAACTTGGAGCATGTTAATGGACCTACCATTGCATACTTTGTTTACATGTATGGATAGATGAAATATTCAATTGACTGAGCATAAACCGGGGAAGAAATCTGATTAGAACTAGACACAGATCGGATAGGCACATGGATTTTCACATTCCACTATCCTTTGCCCTTCTAGTAGCAATTTAGTGAATGCTGCTTTGACAATTTACGCACATGCACTAGAGACTTATTTATAGAACCAATAAATAACAGAGTATGGAAGGAGATGTATGTTGTTTATTTATTGCTCACTTCCTCTCACAACAACCACACAATAACCCTGTGAGGTTGGATAGACTGAGAGAGTGTCTAGACCAGCCTTTTTCAACCTTGGGTCCCCAGATGCTGTTGGACTACAACTCCCATCATCCCTGACCACAAGTCCTGATAGCTGGGAATGATGGAAGTTGTAGTCCAACAGCAGCTGACGTGTAACTTTTGAATAAATGTATTAATTTTTTTATTTAAAAAAAATCCACACAAAATGAACAGTGTTCATGTTTAGCATATGTAATTACAAATCTGAACATGTAAGTGCCATGCTCATATTCATAGTACATGTTCACATGGATGAGAACATAGAAATGTGGATATTCTCTGCTGAAGTGCCAATTCTACTAAATATGTGACTCAGCCCTCAAGATGTCAAGATCATATGACTGAGATTTTGGGTGTAGGAGTCACAAGAGCAATGAGATAATCCAGTTTGTTATAGCTGAAAGCTCCATACAAAAAAGTTAAAGCGCTTATGACTAAATGAGTGCAAGCCAATTTAAGCAAAGGAAATTGTGGAGCCCTGGAAAGGTTGGCACATGATATGTCCTGATAATATCGGACAGACATTGAGGTACAAAGCCTACTTTCCAGCAAAGACTGCCACATTCTTTTATTTGATTTTTGATGACATATGTGGTATAAATCTCCCAGGGACATTGTTCAGGCAATTGCTTTGCTTATTTATTTCACTATTAACCTTGACCTGGTGTACAATTACATAAGGAGAGTAATTATATTTTCTGGCACAATAAATATGGGAGGTGTTTTATGGACAGACTTTGCTCACTCTG